CCACCCGCCTCTTCAGCGCCAGGGGGAAAAAGTATTTGGCGGGAGGTGGCCGGGGTTTGGGGGGGTTCAAGGGCAGGTTTTGGTCCCCTTTGCCCCACGCAGCCGGGGGGCTATAGTGAACCCCGGAGCCCCCAAATTGATAAATGATGAGGCTGATCGCACTTGGCACCCCTGGGTCTCATCGGCTATTGCTTCCGCACCCATCAGGGGGAAGGGGGTTGCCAGCTTGCCACGAAAAAAAACAGCCCGGGGGGGTTGCCCAGGGGGGGCAGCAGGGCCCGCGCCAGTGTCAGGGGAGCCAAAGGGCCCACGGAGTAGAGCCCCCCACTCCATGAGCCAAACCACCAGGGCCCAGGTAGTGGTGGCCGTGTGCACGGAGGAAGTAAGCAGTACTAGCCCAGTGTAGTGAGTAAGGGGGGGCAAAGTTTCCTTCTCGGATCGGGGGGTGGTTGGCAATTTTTTCGTCAAGGCCGGCCCGAAGGAAGAGTAATACGTTAGCAGTATGGTAAGATATGTGGCCAGAAAGTCCAAGACGTGGCCAAGGGGCCCATGATTGGGGGACTACAGCGTTGCGTCAGCAATAATGCAGAGTCGCCTATTCGGTGGGCCTGGGAAAACCGTGATTAAAGGAAACGGCGATTTCTGAGCCTGCCCCAGCCCACGCTCCATCACCCGATCCGTTACTTGCTCCGTCACCCGACGTCAATCGCCCTCTATCAGCCAGTCAAGGCTCCAACAGACCTCTGAATGGAGGGGAGTTGTCGCTCGTTGGCATCTTCCGCACTCGTTCAGATGCTCCTTCTCCTGCTATCTCCTCTTCACGGATTCGACGTCAGCAGTCCCTTTCTTGGAAATCCGTGTTCCAAGGAGACAACAGATTTGCGATAGCACGCACCCGGACGGTTTGCAGAAGTCTGAACGTCATCCTGTCCAAGTTGCTGGTGCTGCAGTCCCTCCCTTTCCAAGTGGTGGACTCAGCACCTTTCCGAGAAATGATGGCTTGTGCCGAGCCACGGTGGAGAGTGCCAAGCCGGCATTTCTTCGCCAAAAAGGCAGTGCCAGCCCTGCATTCACATGTAGAAGAGAGGTGGGCCAGTCTTTGAGCATGTCGGTCTTCTGCCAAAGTGCACGGCAGCGCCGACGTGTGGAGCTGTAACTACGGTCAGGGACAGTACATGTCATTTACGGCCCACTGGGTGAACGTGGTGCCGGCACAGCCGCACCAGCAACTTGGACAGGTCACGCCGCTTTTGCCTCCACGTTTGCACGTCCTTGGTCCAGCAAAGATGTCCCGCCTCTACCACCTTGACGACTATCAAGAGTCCAATGGCAGAGTGGCGGAGCAGAAGCAGCTTCAATTGAAGGCCATACACAGGCCTAGGTTTAAAAGTCCCTCACAGTTAATTCCAATAACGAACTCTACTCCTCCGTGCAATCTACTTACGAGACCCTGGCAGGTCTGGTCCAATTTTGGTAGAGACTGGTTTTGTTCAGCCATGCTTGAGCGAGTAATAACAGATCTGTGCTGCCCTTTGGTGTCTGGCTTAATGCGCACAACACTGAACGTCCCAGCGTTTGTCAACGATTTGCCGTTAAGTGATGCAAACCCGCTGAACCACGTTCATGAGGAGCCGGGTACAGGGGGCCATGAATCAGTATGGACCTGGCAGCAGCGTGAGCAGACAACAGAGGCACATGGCGCAGGGTGGGCGGTGTAGGCATTATTCTGCATTATTCTGAAGCCATACACAGGCCACATGGCGCAGGGTAGCAGCTGTTTCGGAAAAAGCGGTTAAAAGCGGAAGCCGTCAGCAGCATGAGCAGCAGACGACAGAGGCACATGGCGCAGGGTGGCGGTGGAGGCAGCAGCAATGGAAGGCCATACAGCACCGACTATTAGTCGTCTCCCCACGCTGCTGCTGGGGGGACTTTTTAACATAGGCCTCTGTATGGCCTTCAATTTTAGCTGCTTACGCTCCGCCACTCTGCCATGGGCCCCTGTACCGCCATTCTCATGCTTGCTGCCAGGCCCGTAATCTGCCATGGGCCCCCGTACCGACTCCTCATGCTGCTGCCAGGCCCGTAATCTGTCATGGCCCCTGTACCGCCTCCTCATGCTGCTGCCAGGTCCCAGAGTGTGTCATTGGGTCCCTGTACAGCCTCCCATTGCTGCTGTCTCCCAACCACACACTCTGCCATGTGCCACTTTCAGGTCTCCTCACACTGCTGGTGGTTCCATTTTGTGATAGGGTGCTGTATGGCCTTCCATTGCTGCTGCCTCCACCGCCACCCTGCGCCATGTGCCTGTCGTCTGCTCACGCTGCTGACGGCTTCCGCTTTTTAACCGAGGCCTGTGTTTGGCTTCCGAATACTGCTTGCATCCACCGCCACCCTGCACCATGTGCCTCTGTCGTCTGCTCACGCTGCTGACGGCTTCCGCTTTTTAACCTAGTCCTGTGTATGTCTTCCGAATACTGCTGCCTCCACCGCCACCTGCGCATGTGCCACTTTCAGGTCTCCTTACACTGTTGGTGGGTTCCATTTTGTGATAGGGTGCTGTATGGCCTTCCATTGCTGCTGCCTCCACCGCCACCCTGCGCCATGTGCCTCTGTCGTATGCTCACGCTGCTGACGGCTTCCGCTTTTTAACCGAGGCCTGTGTTTGGCTTTCCGAAATACTGCTGCATCCACCGCCACCCTGCGCCATGTGTGTCTCTGTCATCTGCTCACGCTGCTGACGGCTTCCGCTTTTTAACCTAGGCCTGTGTATGGCCTTCCATTGCTGCTGCCCCACCGCCACCCTGCGCCATGTGCCTCTGTCGTCTGCTCACGCTGCCTGAGACGGCTTCCGCTTTTTAACCGAGGCCTGTGTTTGGCTTCCGAATACTGCTGCATCCACCGCCCGCCCACTGCTGCTGCCAGGGACCCGTAATCTGTCATGGGCCCCTGTGTACCGCACTCCTCATGCTGCTGCCAGTTCCAGAGTGTGTCATGGGTCCCTGTACGGCCTCCCATTGCTGCTGTCTCCATCGCCACACTCTGCCATGTGCCACTTTCAGGTCTCCTCACACTGCTGGTGGGTTCCATTTTTGTCATAGGGTGCTGTATGGCCTCCCATTGCTGCTGCCTCCAACCACCACACTGTGGCTCCACACTCTGGTTTTGGCCCCGTGACTGCCCAAATGAGTGAAGTGTGCGGTGATTCTAAGATCGACGGCACTCATCTGCATGTCATACTGACTGAACAGTATTAGTTCTCTTCCCCAGCAGACTCCAAGGGCATTTAAATTAAAGGTTACAGTGTGTTCTGCACTAATATTAAAAGGCTCTCTGAAGCCTAGAAACACCCTTTTTATAAGTTAACATTCGCAGCGAATATATTCGCCTCGAATCGAATTTATTCCCGCGAATTCGGGAATCAGATCGAATCAAATTTTTGAATAATTCGCTCATCTTTCTATCAGTGATGTGGCAAACTTGGCGCTATATTTCAAATTTCAGTGTTTTTGTGTGATTTGATTACATTACTGAATTAAATTTTGTATTATTATATTATTATTTTTTATGATTATTTATTATATTATAATTTAAGATTTCATGTTTTACTCAAATTTTTAACATACCCGGGATGTTTACTAGACTCTTGTTCAGACAGATTTCAGTGAGTTATTCCTAAGAATTACAGGCCTACAAATAAAAAAAAAAAAACCAACATATTTCCATTGAACCGCTGTTGAGCACAGAAATACTGACATAATCCGACTGCTAGGGAGGTTAAGCATTTTTTCTTTTAGCCAATATGTTCTTTTTTTGTGTAAAAAAATGCTAAAAAAAAAAACAAACGTGGAAAAATGCAGCTAAATGCTAATGCCGAATTGCTAAACAATGCGGAAAAAGCTTGCATATTTAATGTGACTTTATACAGCTAACTCTACTGGAGTTTTTAAAATGCTCAGTGTACATAAGGACTTCAGATGAAACAAACAGTAAAAAAATATGTGAAGTAGAAGGGATGGGGTCTTTTTTTATTTGGTGTGTGAACTCTGGAGCATTGGCACTCTCCGCAGCTTGGAACCGTCAGGAAAATTAACAAAAAAAAAAAAAGAGTATGGCAGGTATAAGACTAAGCATCATGGCTTTTCTGTATGAGTAGGTTGTTACTAAAAGGTTATTTTTCCTGGTGCAGAGGGTTATTAAGTCATGAACGCCTGAGAAAGCTAAGAATGAGGGCATTTGTCAAATTATAGAATAACCAAATAGAATAGATCCAATGAGGGGCCTTAGTGAAGATCTTGTAATTTATGGAATGATTTAATTCTCTTCAAGGGTATATGCGTTATGTATATGTATTGAGAACAATTCTGTACCACTCTGAATATAAAAGGTATTGCAAACCTGGTGGGAACTGTAGGTCAGTGGTAAATAGGCCAATATCAAACCCTGCGAGTACATTGTCACAGACAAGAGAATGCATGGTAATTGTGTTATCAATGCTGCATACATGACCTAGAAATTTGCTATTGCAGTGGCATGCAAAGAAGGGTTTCAACTTTGGTGTAATATTGTGCTAAATGCAGTACAGAAAGGTCACCTGTCTTTCATGGGAAATAAAAAGTATTTGGGAAGATGAGGTTTAGTTGTACCCCATGTAGAGCATAATATATTCCAAGTATCACAAATGAATAAAAAATAGTGCTGCGCTACTCCCTAAACCTAACCCTAAAGCAAAAAGTAAACACCTGACAGAGCCCCTAACCAAGGTAATATAAATAGCATCACTTATCAAGGCATAAACCTTATATCAAGTCATCAATAAAAATAATAATAATTTTACAACATATGTATATATGTATATATATATATATATATATATATATATACAGTGAAGGAAATAAGTATTTGAAGTATTTGATCCCCTGCTGATTTTGAATGTTTGCCCACTCACAAAGAAATGAGCAGTCTAAAATCGAATGGTAGGCGTATTATGACACTGAGAGACAGAATAGCAACAAAGCATTAAAAAGAAATGCATGTCTAACAAATGATGCACTGATTTGCAAGTTCATGAGGGAAAATAAGTATTTGATCCCCTTCACAAAACATGCCTTAGTACTTGGTGGTAAATCCCTTGTTGGCAATCACTGAGGTCAGACGTTTCCTGTAGTTGGCCACCAGATTTGCACACATTTCAGGAGGGATTTTGTCCCACTCCACTTGGTAAATCCTCTCCAAGTCATTAAGTTTTGGTGGCTGACGTTTGGCAACTCGAACTTTCAGCTCCTACCACAAATTTTGGGATTAAAGTCTGGAGACTGGCTAGGCGACTCCAGGACCTTAATGTGCTTCTTCTTGAGCCACTTCTTTGTTGCCTTGACCAATTAATTTACATGTATTGGGATTTTATTTTAGCAAAAACATGTAGCAGAATACATTTTGCCCTAAATTTATGACGAAATGTGATATTTTTAATTTTTTTTACTGGATATGTTTTATAGGAAAAAGTCAAAAATATTGTTTTTTTTTCAAAATTGTTGGGCTTTTTTTGTTTATAGAGCAAAAAATAAAAAACAAAGGAAAAAAGGACATAAATTTCCCAGCTGAGCCCTCAACCCACTGACAGTTCCCTGAAGAAGTTACGTGATTCGTGATGCAACACGCAGGAAGGAAGTGTGGTGACATAATTTCCAGTCAGACGGCAGCCGCCATCTTGGTACACCTGCTTGTTTTTGATAACGCCCTGTGGGTGGGGCGAAACGCGTTGACGTATTTCCGGTTGCCTGTTCCGGCGCCTGACGTCATTTCCGGTGAGTGGAACGCACGCCGAGCGGTGCGTTCCAAGGGGCCATCTTTGCATAGTGGATGAGTCTGCATCTGAGGTCTGTCATCCTGCTGTATACCTGGCTGTGGGGTCTCTATACAGAAGTCGCTGTATATGAAAGAAAGATCGTTTTTAAAGTAAGATCGTTTTGCTTCAATAAAATGCGGGTTAAATTCTGCTAAAATGTGAGTGGTCTGGAGAAAGTCTTTTGATTGGAAATCATTACGGTATCACACTATGGTCTTTTCTTCTTCCTGATTTTCCCTGGGGGATCCGGTGAGAGGAGTAACCAGAGGAGGTATCCATATCCTAGAGGAGGCAATATTTGGAGGCCATATACAAAGTAAAGGGGGTCCAGGAGCCCTTAATATCCCTGAAAGGCATTTGACTCACCATTATCTGGTGAGTGCGGTTAATGTTGGTTTTGCACTGGTGGATGGTGGAGGTATCACAGGCACAGAAGAATCCAATGAAAATATAATATAATTAATTTTTTCACGGGACTGTTATTTTGGGATTTTTGTCACTGGACTTATTAATTTTAAATCATATATATTTTTTCATTAATATTTCAAAAACAAATTTTTTTTGTGTCACAGTTTTTTAAGTTTGTAATATTTACTAATTATCAATTTTATGGGTTGGGTGATGCAATTTATTGTTTTGTGGGTTTGGGCTGGTATAAATTGATATAAACACCTGCTTCTATGTATTTTATTACCAATGCTTGTATGGGTCTGCTGGCCCGGTTTTAAAAGTCAAAGTATTCTATGCCTGGTATTTATACATTAAACATGGGCGTATTTTACTATGAGATGTCGTTTAATTTTTTTTTAACATGAATTTCTGATAAGGAATTGGGAGAAGGAGCCAGTAAAGTACCCTTACAGAGGAGAGCTGGTTGGATTTCAGGTTGATATTAAAGCGCATTTAACCTATATCCCCTTTAAGTCAAAATGGGAGGTAAGCATGCACGCTAGCTGGTGGAGGATTTTTAAGGGTGATCACTTTTTAAGTCACGTGTGGAATATATGCTGATTTTGTATTTTTCTGCATTACAGACCTTGATTTTTTACTACATTTAGGGACATTTATTCACAGACTGCCAGACTGTCACAGACTGAGAGCCAGCCGAGGTGTTTATTTAATTTATTACTATTTTCTTTTTATTTTGTGCGCTTTGTTTTTTAATAGATATATATATATATATATATATATAATATATATATATAAATCTATTTTTATGTGCCTTTTTGTCCCTTGATATATATTACTAAGATTATCTGTTTGCACATATGTTGAAGTTGCACATATTGATTTGTTCATATTTGGTATTGCCTAGCAGGGCATCTATTCTTTTTGGATATTTTCATTCACTTGTGCTTGGTTATTTTCAAGGTATGCACTTATATTACCTTAGTTAGGGGCTATGTCAGGTATTTGCTTTTTGCTTTATGGTTAGGTTTTGTGAGTAGCGCAGCACTTTTTATTAATTAATTCATTTTTTTTAGTGTTGTGGGAACACAATTTGGTTGTTTGCAGCCACTCTTAGTTTATCATATTAGGTTAGGTATCCACCTAGGACTTGAGAAGTGTTCAAAGTGGTATTTTAATTGTTCCCATCCTCTCCATCCAGGAGACTGCTAAATTTCCTCTATGATTCAAGTAGGTTTGTTATATTTTGAAAATAAAAATGTTTATTTGTTACATAGTATATTTATTAAATATCTAGAAAAAAAGTAGT